GTAAAATAATAATTAATAAAGTAATAATTAATAAAGTAATAATTAATAAATAATAAAATAATTGTTTGTCATGAAAAATTTTAAGTTAAATCAACGAAATTAAATTGTATATTATAGTATGTTCAAAATTTTGCAGAAAGCAATTTAATCCGTTAAATTAATTAATCACCTGTTAATATTAATGAGTATGATCAAAATAACCTTCGTTACTTTAATTTATTAAAGAACTATAAAAGAAATTACAAATTACAAATTAATTAATATCATCATTGTTTTCAAAACATTACAAATTGTAAATATTATTTTTTTAAATAATTATTTAGGCATCTATTTATTTTTTTCATCGCGTCCATTCCTAATAATCACGATCATAACTTGCGATTATATTACATAAATTCTGTATCATTCTCATCTGTCTTTCACTGGACGACGTGGGAGTCATCTTAAGTCGTCAGCACCTCCGCGAGCATATCGATACGCGAATTCGCAATACGCGCGCGCGCAATCGTTGGTGCATCAGTGCATGCGCGCGCTCCGGAAGCCGCCTTCGGCTGTCGGCAGTCGGCTAGTCAGCCATCCGTACATTCCGTACAGCCGTAGACCGGAGTCATCAGGGCCAGGCAAGGCCAGGAGATCGGAGACGACTGACGATTGACGAGACAATCAGCGACAATGTCGCTCGTGTGGACGTCCATTTAAAGATGGCCGCGTCGTCGTGGCCGCCCGATCATCGTGTCGCGTCGATTTTAGACGCGTGACGCGTTCTTCGGGGATTTGCGAAACCTTAGACCGACAAGGCCGGACCGTAGGGCGCCCGGACGTCGACATCAACGACATATCCGGACACAGATTCGACACAGTCGCAGACGAAACGGCGGATCACGCCGCCGGACGATGATCTAACGCCTCGCGTGTGTGTGTGTGCGACGCGTGTGATACCATGAATTGTCATCAGATACTTAGCGGCGCCTGCAATGCGGGCGATCGCTGCTACGCGGTCGGTTCCGTCGAGGGAATATCCTTCACCGTAAGTCCCATGAAATAACGATCGCGCTTTCATATGGCGCATCCTTGGCAATTGGCCAACCTCGCCAATATCGTCAAAGGAATTTCATACGTGATCGTAAAAGTCGATACGCACTCTCGCATTATGGAAGTCAGCTGATCGAATGACATTTTCATTAGGCTTACAAACGTGGGACATTTATGTCTGACGAATTTACAGTTTTCTTCAACAAACGACGAAAATGTATATTTCTTATTGTTTTATTTACATGTTTTATCTGGTATTTTTGAAGCGTTGCGAATTAAAATGAAAATCTTTTTTACTAATTTTTACTAACTTTTGTAATTAGCTGTCAAAAGATTTTATCAAGAATAGTGATAGCGTTAGTGTGATAGTATATCATATCAAAAGACAGATTTAAGATTTGATAAGATAATATGCTTAAATAATGCTTAAATTTATTTGAAGGTAGAGTTAAAAGTATGTAGTAGTAATAAATTGATTTATTATCTGTCTATTCAGGCGTATGCAGCTGGTTGTAATATTGTGATTTTGGCCAATAATTTTGAACGAGTTCAAATAATTCCTGGGGCAGTGCACAATTACATCAGGATTAGCTGTCTGGACTGTAGTACAGACACAGGAAAAATAGCTGCAGCCTATGAAAATCAAGTCTGCATTTTTGAGCCAACGCCGCTCATACACAGCACCTGTTCACATGTTTGTATTATAATTGTTCTGTTACATATTTTGATATATATTTAAGAACTCGTTTAGATTTTTAATAAATTTTTTGTAAATTTTTTTTTATAGCAATTAGAATACAGATGGGTTCAAACAGGAAGTCTGCAAACAGAATCGAATATTACTTCTTTGTCATGGAATTTAGAAGGAACAAGATTGTTAACAGGTGGCGAACT